TAAAACATTTAAAAAGATTAAATATTATCAAAATAAACAATAACAAATTGAATCAAAAATCAACGCAGCGGCTATTTGCACTAAGTGTAAATAGCGATAAATTCAATTTACACTATGATAAAATAGCAGGATTTTCTGCTGTTTATACTACTTATTGCAAATAGTGGCAATTATCTGCACCTCAATATTGTAGTAAATTATAAAACAGTATGCAATAATAACGTATGCAATAATAAGTATGCAGTAAATTATCATTTTAATTCAAATAAAAAAATAGATGCCACCTTATTGGGACAATAAAGCCCTCCCGACACCTACCCTACCCGATACTTTATTTTCAACTTTTCGATTATTTCCTTCATTTTTATTGAAAATAAATGCCTTTCCAATGCGATATGTGATTTGAAAAGGGAGAAAAAAAAGTTTGGCAAAAGGCGGATTCGACTTCAGGTCGATCGCGTCAAAATGATAACAGCACACGCTTTACCATCTACGCCACTGGAGCTTGTCAATGGTCTTTTGTAGTGTTGACTAGCCCAATTTCATGTAGGTGGGCGGAGTTAGTGTGAATAGCTTCTGCCAACAAGCCGGGCTAATGCTGCGTTCAAGTCTTCCTGGGACATTCGTACTTACGAGTTGACAAGTCATAATTACGACGTCAGGTGTGTTCAAGTCAGTTTAGTCGGCACAAGATGGCGGTGTACCTTCTTTTAATAAATTACAAGAAAATACAACAGGGTCTGTTAACTCTGCTTATAGAAAATGAAGAGCAAAGAACTCGCATCAGGTGTGATTTGCGTTTTTTAATATTTTTAAAACATGGCAAATCAAAAGATTTTTCATCTATAGGTGCAAAAATGATAACATTTTTTTACTTGGATTTCATTAACTAGCTGTGTAACAAGAATTCGCATCAGGTGTGTTTTGCGTTTTTAATATTTTTAAAAAGTAATTTATGAAGCCACTTTAATCTGTATCACATAAAACTTCATCAAAACTATCAATTTAAACAAAAATTTACCGTTAACTACAGATGTTGCATCCATCGATTCCGCCATGTTTCTCATTGACACGCCCCCAAATCGTAAATACGATCTATCCGACATGACTTGAACGCACCATAAGTGCAAATAGCACTTAGTGTAAATATAGACACTCCGAAAATCAACACTGATATACGTCATCAGCTGGAGCATTCCAAATTTCAACATTTACAAAGGCACACTCCTGCTTTTTCTGGAGGCGAAGTCATCAATGAGCTCATCGTATGATAATTAAAACATTAATTAACGTTAATAAACGTTATTAACGTCAACAGCCAAAAAAAGTTTCACAGGATTATGAACGTACCTGAAAGGGATGCACGGACTTCATCTTGAACTTTTTTACTTTTTCTTTTCTTGACTGCTGATGTCTTTTTTCCGGGCACAGTTGTCCATCAATTATGATCATTTGCAGTCAGCCGCAAACATGAGGTGAGGGCGGCCGCGGGTGCGGGAATGGCGCGTCACGTGTGCTTAGCATACTGACTACTGCATTCACCGTAAAATGCATTTTTTATAATTATGTATA